AGGCAGCTGGCACTGGCCTGTCCCCAGGAGCTGCACGGCAATGGCATAAAGTGATGCTCCGGATTTGTGGGTGAGACAAACTTCCCAAAAAATTAATTCTGCCATGCTGTGCGTGACTTTGTGCATCCTTTTTTAAAAAATTCAGTGGGGAGCTGCAAGATGCCCAGAGATGATAAATGGGATTGTGATCTCACAAACCACTAAAAACCTCAGTGAGCCCAGGAAGGCTTGTGGCGGTGGCAAGGAACAGGGGAAAGCTGTCACCGTGTCCTCTGGGACACCTGCAGGAGGACCACGAGGATAGGAGAAGGACAGGGCAAGGACGGCACTTCCAGAGCAGTGGGCTTACAGACAGGACTCGCTGCTGAGCGTGGCGAAGCCGCATTGCCTAAAGCCGCATGACATGGCGGAGGGGGGAGCGGGAAAGGGCTGGACTGTGCGGTGCTTGGAGAAAAGGCTCAGCAGTCCCTCGAGGCATCCCCCTAATTCACCCCCAGAGAACGTGGGGAGCACCCCTGGGGGGGACTTTCGCGAAGGCTTTGGCACATTCAAGGTGGCAGCTGTGGTGATGGGCGGGGAACAGGGTAGTTAGCCATGGCACCCAAGCGCAGCCGCCGTGTTTGAAGGCGTGACGAGGACATGCTACGGGGCGCAGGGTGGCACACCATTTCCTCCCCCAGCTCTCCTGGAAACAGGGTGCCCAACACAAGCGTCCCTGGGCCAGATCCGGCAGGCAGCGCCCTCTGATGTCCGCAAGACTCGCAGCAGAGAGCGGCTGCACCTGCTGCAGTCGCACTGCATCCCCAGCGCGAGGGAAGCTCCGAATCAACAGGCGAGAGGAATTGGCTGGGGGGAAATGGAAGCGCCTCTCTGGCCTCTGCTCTCCATCTGTTCCCTGAAAGTATCCAGTTGGGCTCTGGTCCAGCAAAGCTCTTAAGCACGTGCTTAAGTTTCAGGCCTCCAAGAAATCCCACTGATTTCAAGATGGGAAAGGAGTTTTTCTTTTTCCCTGGCAAATCCTCTGGTTTCATAATGCATCAGATGGACGTAACATCTGTCTCCCATTTACAGCACTGCAGGACTCCTGTGCCTGAGGCGAGGGCCGGTGGCTTCATGCAACAGGCTGTGGAGGTATCTTGCCGCGGGATCCCAGAGGCAGCCTGGTGGAATCCGCGAACTCAGGCCTCCGCGTCGACGGTCCCTGGATGAAGCAGAGGGCGGCTGCAGAGATGGTGCAAGGGGCAGGGGCTGCGGCCGGGGCTTGGACAGGCAGGCGGTGCCCCAGAGCTGGGCTGGCTAACTTATGGGGCCAGGCAAGCCTTCAGCATGAAAAAATGTGGCTTCCTGGGCCTTCGCCGTCATTCCCCGTGAGCTGCTGCAGCAGGGCAGTGCTTGGGGAAGTCATGCACCATGCAGGCCTGATGCTGCGCCGTGTGGTGCCTGCTGCTCCAGCCCAGCTATGCATCAGAAGGTCAAGGCCAGAACTTTGAGTCATGTCAGGAGACAGACTGGGAGCCAGGAAGCTGCTGCAATATGTGGGAGGGTTTGTGTCGCCCTTCTGGAGCTGAGTCATCAGCGGGCTGAACTTTCCAGAGGCTCTTCAAAGGCTGCCCCTCCAAGGAGGCTACACAGCATTCCTGCTCTTCATGCAGTGGGTTGAGAGCTCAGAGGACTCTGTGGCGGAGAGAGGGGATCGGTTTACTGCAATGGGGCAGGCTTCAGAGTGGATTCCAGCTCCCGGCTGAATTCTCCCAACCTCATTCACTCTGTCCTTCCCAGTTCCCTGAAAACCAGTGAGCTGCTAAAGAACAAGATCTGCAGAAATATTTACCCTGTTGCTTTTTCCGCATTCTATTTTGTTACAAACTGGAACTGAAATGGGTTTAATTGGCGCTATTACCATGCGACGTACACAAGATGCCAAACACCATGCAGCTACAGGATTGTGTGCATGTGGCACACAAGCTCAGTAAACAAAAGCAAACTGGCACATGCTGGTTGCGTAAATATTCGCCACGCCGAGTCCATGCTGGGTGGCACCAGGACCAGCTGCCAGTCTTCCTGGGCGAGTCTCTGCCAGCTAGTTCATCTGACTCATGGTTCGTTGCGCATCTTGGCAAGGCTGCTCCAACACTGTCAGGTTGAACGGGGGCTTCTGATGGACAACAGCCGGACTGAGGTTTGGCCTTCAATGAGCCATTCGAAGACATCCAGGTTCTTGGCTTGAAACCACGCCGGTGCTCTGGATGACAGTCCCCAGAAAGTGAACCTCTACCCAAGGGGCTCCCAGACCGAGGCAAGTCTTCTTCCAGAACAGCCCTGTCGATGGCTCCATCCACCTCACCTTCTGTCCAGAACAGTTCCTCAATCCCTGCTGAGGGAATCACCCCTCGACCCAATGCTACCACGACCAGGCTTTAACCTGGGTGGCATTTATAGGGCAACGAGGACGGCTTCCTTTACACCAGGCGCTGTGCTGTGCGGCGAGGCCAAGAGGTTCAGTTCCGGTTTCAGCAGGCTGGAGGAACTTTCCCACATGTGTGCCATGTTTCCCACATGCTTCTTTGAAAACATCAAACAAGCTCTGATATGGGTTTACTTCATCACAGGCTTTCTTTCTGGCACCCTTCCAGAAAGCCCAACTACATGGAGGGTCCAGGTGATAAAGTCCCTCAGAAAAGTTTCTCCCCTCTCCGATGTGGAACTTTCCAGCTCCTTCGGAGTTACGGTTGGCCTTTTGGTTGTTTCTTTGACTCCTTTGGCTCCAGGAGATGTTCATAGTTTGGGATTTTGGAAATCATCCAGCCCTGATTGGTGCATCTGCAGAACAAATGCCCATATACACATTTCTAGTAACATTTCTGAATGTTATTGTATTGTAAATATACTGCAAGCCAGCTGGAGAGTTTCAAATACCTAAATAAACATCTTGGTTTCTGGAGTTAGATGGTGAATTAATCAGTAGTGGCAAGGGTGGCAGAGGTGGAAAGTGGAAACAATGTTTTGATGCACTGTCCCAGCAGATGTTCATGCAAGCCTGCCTTTTAAAAAAGCGATCACACATGGAAAACCAAATCAGGATAGCAAGGGCTTTACAGAGAGTTCTGGTTTTAGAAAGAAGCTTCAGAAAATGAACTTACAGTGAAGTTTCCTGATGCAGCTGGGACTGTGCATGGTTATAATGGATGAAACGCTACAGAAGAATTCTGTCTTGCCTCATTCATCACTGAGAGGAAAATGGTCCAAGGCAGCTTTGGAATAGTTAGAAATGTAAGCTGAGCTTTTCCAGTAATGTCTGCTAGGGCAGTTAAACCGTGTATAAATGACCCAGAAGGAACAGGAAATGCTGAAGAATATTAACATTTTAAGAGCACTGAAAAGCCAAATGGATGGCCCTTCACTTCCGCACTGATTCCCAGTTTTACATTCTACGGCCACCTGAATTCAATATTTTGTTATACCGATGTTTTTAATATTGGGCCTCTTGGAAGGTTAAATGCTGGAAGATTCCTGAGTTCAGAGCTTCAGTTTGGCGTTTGTGCTCTGGATGCTCCAGTGGTGAGCGAGGGCTAGACTGCGGAACCAAAGTCCAGTCACTTCTTGTGCTGTTTTTATGTTGAAAGACATCCTCTTCTGCATGCCGGGGGGCTGTTGCCAGAAGAGAGAGAGGGGGAGGACAACTGCATTTCTTCTCCGGGACCCCCCGTCAGCCCTGCCATCTCTGCCATTGACCAGAATACCTCCCCAAGAGCTGGGTGTGGGCGGCGCATTGCTGCAGGGCTCCTGCACATCCTGAGGTGGCTGCTTCCAGGAGTTTCTGCCTGCCCAGGGCCTTTAAGCTTTGGGGGCTACAAGATTCTGTTCTGTCTTCCATGTTATTTGGCATCTACCTGAAACCACTGAGGCCCTCCGCATGCTGCTGATGCACGGCTCCATCTCACCTGTTCGCCCCATCCAGGTGAAGCAGAGCGCTTGGCCATGCCAGAACTGCAGATTTCTGAGTTCTGCGGTTGGTGGAGGGAGGGAGGAGAGAAAGAGCAGCTCAGTTTCACCGGGGTGAGGCAGAAGAACAGTTACTGGATAGCTCTCCTGGGGGAATGGCAAGGTTTTCACTTTGCTGCATAACCATCCCAGCTGATCAGTAAATTTGCCAATTACAAAATACATGTGCGTGTGGTGGCAGGGTGGGGGGAGTGGGTTGTCTCAGCAAATGCAAGCAAAGCTTCCTGGCAGCAGCCTGCACTGGTGAGGAGCTGCGACTTAGATTTAGCGTCCTGCAATGGTTGTACATTGGTAGAGGCCTGTTCTCCCCTGCAGAGGAAGGTGGGACGCGCTCCAAGGGAGCCAAGCTCAGGGAACCCAGGTTCAATTTGGATGCCAGGAAGCACTTCCTGACAGTCAGGACCCCGAGGGTGTGGAATGGGCTTCCATGGGAGGTCGTTGAGGCCCCATCGGGGAGGGTGTTCAAGGATAGGCTGGACATGCACATGGTGGGCATGTCGTGAGCGGAGCCGGCTGGTGCCGGGGGTCAGACTAGATGGCCCGGGAGGACCCTTCTGACTCACTCTTTTTCTGTATTTCTACATGGAGCTGCCACCAAGGATAGTCCAGAAACTTTGGTGAGTGCAACATGCAGTGGCAAGGGCTCAGACAGGGAGGGCAACTGTGCCACCACTCCTGCGCTGCGTGATCTCCTCTGGCTTCTGGGCGGACTCCATCCCGTTACCCCGAAGCGCTGCACAGCCTGGACACAGGGCCCCTCTGCCTGCAGATTCCCGGGCACCCCTGCCCGATGGGGACTTGGCCCCTTTTGGGCTAACCTCAAGCAGCTTGTGCAGACTTTGGCAGAGTTTGCCCTGCATCTTCGTTTTCTGGTTTGTTCTTGTCGACCCTGTCAGGGTTGCATGGACAGGCGACCAAATGTTTCCTTACTCACGGGAAGTGGGTGTGAAGGATGGTTGCAACATCTGAGGCACTGCAGAAGGCGCTTTCATGTTTACCTGTGATGGCGCGGCTGATCCCGTCAGCTGGGTGCTGCGCTAATGTATTCCATTTATTAAAACTGTATGCAGGATGCATCTGGCACCTGAGACCTGTCAAAGCAGGACAGATAATACCTTTGATTGGACCGACGTCTGGCACTGTGGCCAGTCAGCTGCGGAAAACCATACTCAGGACTGATTCCCTGGATAATTCCCCAGCTTCATGGATCAGCCCAGTCCAGGTCCAGTGGGCATGGGCACTGAACCCTCTATCCTTTGATAGGCTTTGGATTTGGCTGCAGAAGCAGGAAACCTGAGCAGGACACCCACTGCCAGCAAAAGCCCCCCCTCCCTGCATAGCTTCTGCCAGGGCTGGAAGGCCCAGTGGGGCTTAGGGTTTGTTGGAAGCGCTCCCGTCGGATTGCTCTGCCCAGTGGGCTAGACAATACGAGCATGGGAGCATCTAACGCTCGGAAGCCATTAACAGAGCAGGCACCGGGCACGGACTTGAAACCATGTGCCCTCTGCTCTCCAGAGCAGCTGTCCTGGCCATGCATGGTGCATGGAAGCGGGGGGGGGGGGGAGCAGTCTGGCATGGTGCGCTTACCTGGTGCAGCTGGCGAGCAGAGAGCTGTTCCTGGTGCCCCTTCAGCAGCACATTTCCGCAAGGTCAGTTTTCTGGGATCCTGAAAAAGTCTGCATTTGGAGGAAAAAGCAGTTTGGCCAGTATAAGAATAACAGTGACTTCATTTCCAACGAGCACACACGGGAAAGGCAGACGCAAATTAATTGTCCCAGAGTCTCTCTATTTCCAGGACATGTGGGGAGAATTTCATATCAGAATGACTTTGCATTCCAACTTGTATGATTATATGCAATGAAGTTTACTATCTGTGGTAAGACTGTAGAAAAGCATAGCAAATGTGGTAATTTTCTATGTCATTTACATTCAGGAGGGGAAAAATATTCTTGAATTTACTGTGAACTACACTTACCCCCAGACAAAACAATTTTTTACCTGTCTGCCTTTGGTTCTTCTGTACTGGTTATCATAAGCATCTACCCTCGCAAGAAAGAGATCTTTGGAGATATGAATTGGAAAGTCTGGTGCAGACCTCCAAGGCACGATGAAGAACATTTTGAGGAACTCAATGCAGGTTTTTTTTAAACTAACTATATTCTTGCAGGCCTTGTAGGTCTGAAGAGCTAAAAAGACCTAGCTCAGAAGGAAACGTGAACTGGCCATTTAAACTGGGGAGACAAAAAGCAGAGCATTCCTTAATCTTACAGAGTGCTTGGCCTGTCAAAGATGGAAAATACCTTTCATCATTCATATCCCTGTATACAGCCTGATTCTCAGATAATTCCAGAAGATCAAAGGGATGGGGTGTAAGAGATATGGAGAGCAAAGCTGGGCTTTTGCACTGAATTTGTAACATGTGTCTTGGGCAGAACTGTAAAACCCCCGAAGGAGGAGCCTCTCCCACTTTGGTTCTGTGCTTGTTGACAAACGTATGGAGGAAAGTTGCGTGATTGACAAGGAGGGGCTGCCCCTCTTCCCCAGAGCACATAGTCTGGGGGAATCTGTTAGTGCTCACCCAGCAACGGTGGGCGAACACATGGCAAGCCAAAGACTCTCTCTCTCTCTCTCTCCCCCCCCCCCCGCACACCCTCAGCCACCCACTTCACCCTCTCCCTTGCTCCCCTCTCCTCCAGACGATCACCTCACTCCTCCACTGGCCTTCTTCTCAGCCTCCCCCATGGTTGCAGCCTGCTTTGGACTCCCCCCAGCATCCCTGGCCTTCGGCAGGTGGTCGTGAGAAGGACCTCTGGGGACAACTGGGAGAAATGCCGAGGGCCAGGCCTCCAGGCTTTCGGACACGGCAAGCAGCAAGCTCCCCGGGAGCACATGGGCGCCACAGCTCCGTGCCTCTCCAGAAATGCACAGCTCGCAGGCAGCAAGAGCACAGCATGAGCTCGCGTTAGCGTGTTGCCCTCCCTCGGCTGCCACGTACAGGGGAAGGGACATGTTCACACAGCCCCACGATGCCACCGCTTCCCAGCTAGTCGCTGTGGGTCAGGCGCACCCTCACTGCCCTCTCCAGGCAGTCCCGAGCAGGCTGCACTTTTAGCACAGAGGAAGGCACCCAAAGGGCACTGCGCCTGCCTTCTTCGCACATCTACATTGCACAAATCAATGAAAACACAAGGCAAAATCTCATGAAACGCACTGGGATCTTATGCAGCAAACAGCAGTGGGGCGGCAGGTTGGGGCATGCTTGCCTCACCGGTTGCATCTCCAAGAGCTGCTGATGTCTCCACACTTTCTGCCTCTCAGGTTTCTCATGGGAACGTGTGGACTTTCATGAAAAGGCTCATTTAAATGCCTTTCTGATGATGCTCTGCAGCATAACTAATATGGCCTCCTTATTAAGCTAAGAGGGCCTTGCTGCAAGCCCTGCAGTGGCGGCGAGTGTGGGGGAAAGGGTTTTCCAGGCAACCATATATTATTCCCTGTTGAAATGCGAAGCAGCTCATGGCAGCTTGGTCTTGAATAGGCAATTAAGAGCCTTCAGCTTCGCCAGAGACGGGCTCTCGGTGGAGCTGAGAACGGCTGGAACGGATCTGTTGGTATGGCTTGGCAGAGCCGCCAGGACTGCTGCTGGGGGCATCGCTGGGCACAGCCACGGCAGGCGAGCGAGAGAGCATCTGCACTGCAAACCTCGCTCTCTCTGCCATGGCACAGAGCTCCTCCCTCCTCCCAAAGCGCATCCTTCCAGGGCTCTGCTTGTGGTACGAGGAAAGCTGCATTCAGAGAGGCCCGTGCTGCTGAGAGAGCTGAGCTGGCAGCCAACCCAGGGAAAAGAAGTGAAGCCACTTGGTTTCTGCTAGAATAAAACAGAAGGGGTTTCCTGTGGTGAAGCAATTAGGGAGAACTCAAGGCAGAAGGGCCAATTCATGACTTATTAGATTCCACTCCAGCAACAACAGAGCATTGCATCCAGAAGCAGCCAAGCAGCAGAGCCATCCCAGCAAAAGCGGCATTTGGTTTCTTCTTCAAAGTCCCTTCTCTGATATAGACCTCCCCAGAGAGGTCCGCCTGGCGCCGTCGTTATTTTTTTTCGGTGCCAGGAGAAGACCTTTTTATTCAAATGTTATTTTAATTGTTAATATTATTTATTTATTTTATTCTTTGGCCAGGGTGACTTAATTTATACTGTTAAATCATATTGTTTTATTTATTTATTTATTTATTTATTTATTTATTAAAACATTTTTATGCCGCCCCATTCGCCGAAGCCTTGGGGCGGCTCACAACAGCCTCGGGGCGGCTTACAACAATGTTGTATGTTATATGATGTTATTTATTTATGATCGTGAGCCGCTCTGAGGCTTTGGCGAATGGGGCAGCATAGAAGTTCCCTAAATAAATAAACAAATAAATAAATAATATAGGTCAAAGCTAGCAAAATATAAGTTGCTAATGTTTCATTGTTGATAGAATGCAAGCAGATACGCTGTTTTTACCTAATTAAAGGTTGCTCTTAAACCAAACTCTCAGGACACTGAGATACATTAAAGTGGGTTTCCTGGGGGATTTAAACAATGAAATATAAATATTACAGTGGTTGTTTGGTTTTGAAAAGAGAAATATCACATTTATAGCTGGGTTTTTGTTTGCTTTTCCATGTGCGTGTCATTTTGCACTCAGTTCTGCCTTATGTAGAAGAACTGAAGGGAAAATGGGCTTGAAATTAAGCAAGTATGAAGTCTGACATTTGTCTTTCATATGTGGAATGTGCAGACTCAATATAAATGACAGATCTGAAATGAGCAATTTTATGGTAAAAGATTCATAGGTGCGCCATTAAAAATTAGATGGCATGTCTGCAAATCTTAAAGTTCCTGAAACAATTTGTGGGGGACAGAGCCAACGCTAAGAGTGAGAGACCAACCAGCGGGCTGCTCTGACGGCCGGCTCAAAAAGCCGCCGCCGCCGCCGCCCTGGACCTGCTCAGCGACCGGGCTGCAGCCAGTCACGTGCCCTGAACCTGGACAGCACCGACTCGCGCATGAGTCCATGGCGAAGCTGCGCCGCTTCGGACCAGACCGGGCTCCTGTGCACCAGCCCCTCCCGGTCGCCTGCCCTTCATCACCACAGACATCACATCCAGACATCTCTGGATATCTCGGTAGGACCAATGATCTCCTCAGGGCGCTTTTATTGTTGGGGTTCTCAGTCCATTAAGAGCGGACGAGGGACGGCTGGCTCGACAAAGAGGAGCGCTTGCCACCGCGCGCGTGTTCGTCCCATCATTATCTCTGCCCTATGGGCTGATGTAGCACTTCCCAAAGTATTTGAGCGGGGGGGGGCAGGAGGGCGAGAGAGAGGAGCGTGTCCTCCGAGGAAATGATGCCCCCATGCCGCTGCCTTTCCCTTTCTAAAAAGCCTTTGTTTGGGCTGTCACGATAGAGGAAACCCAATACATATGGAAGCAATCCCCGTTTGCGACAGGCATTTAGGAAATGCATTATTGGAAAATGCATTTGTGAACTGATGGGAGTTGAAATCCAGTTGATCTTAAACAAACATCTTGGAAATCATAAAAAAACTTTACACAGAGCAAGAAATTGGACTTGTGAGGGTCCAATTCTTTAAAAGAAGAACTACAGCATTGTTTATTTCTGTTTATCAATTAAATTCAGTAGCTAACACAAACAATTCAAAATGTGTATTCAGAATACATGCATACTAATACATGCATATACATCTACCTTAAATAACCATATCATAATTCTACCAATTACAATAACAGCTCAAATTATTGAACTAACATTTTTTCCCCAAAAATGAGTATCATACTATGAAACAGTGAATAATACAAAGCTTGGGTATCACCCTGTATTTCTTAGTTCCAAATGACTATCAAATGCACAATTTTTAATTAGTTAATTTTTTGCAAGCAACAATGCAACACTGGCAAAAAAGAAAGCTATACCATCAACTGAAAAGTGGGAAAACCTATGTTGACATGTTATTAGCAGCTTGACATTGATATAATCACATTTGATAGAGTGGGATGTATGAAAGATATAAACGTCTTGAAAAATGCACAATTTGCTTTTGATTATTTTGGAGCAGCAGCCTGTCGAGGGAGTGAAGAGTGAAGCCAAGCTCTTGGGTCAAATTTATTTGAAGACTATTATTGGATAACGGAGAAAGCAAAGCAAGACTGAATAAACTACTTTGTAGGTTTTGCTTGTTAGGGTTGGATTGGCTTGTTAGGAAATGAGAAAGCACGTAGGAGGAAGAGGACCTCTTTAAAGCAGGAAGTAATCTTTGCCTTGAATATGGCACTAGGGATGGATTGTGGGACTAATTTCTCCCCAAACTGCTGGGGTGGTATAATGGGAGAACGCTTGGCCTAAGTGCTACTCAGCCGAAAACGCTCCCAGCCTGGCTTTAGACCATCCATTCTTCTGGTGTGCCCTCTGGGTTCCCAGAGAAGCAGGAGGGGTTCACTGACCCCGACAAAGTGTGGCTTCAATACAAGGAAACAAGCAAACAACAGCTCTGACTGCTCGCACTTGGATATATCCATCCCATGTGACACGTGGGGACACGTGCGTGTGCCTCTGTGCTTGCTAATGTCACCAACCTGTCCATACAGGCTTCTTTCTTTACTCCTTTGCGCCGGGGGCTGGAGGCACGTTCCTTCTTTTGGTGGGTTCTCTCCTACCTGGGAGCCTTCGCTGCAGCCCTTTCGCCGCAGGGGGTCCCCTGGAGATCCGAGCTGCCCTCCCCACTGCATCAAACATTCACAGGCACTCGGCTCTGTCTTCTCCAGCTCGAAAAGAGGACGTGCTCCCTGGACGGGAATGATGTGCTGTGCAAAAGCCAGTCCCTTCTGTCTTCGCGCTGACAAGATGGAGGCACCATTGGTGGGCTGGTTGTTTGCCCAGGGAGGCTGGTTCTGAGCTGTGCAAGGCTTCACAGCTTAAAACCTGCACTGTGGATAAGTCCTGGAACCTAGAGACAGCTAATTCAAATGGGTCAGAGCTGGCTGTGTCCTCAGACCTTCTGGTCCCAGTTATTAATCTGGCTGCTACATTTTGCAGCTTCCGAGCCATCTTCAAGGGCAGCCCCATGAACACAGCACTGTAGTAACCTGACTTGGACATTACCAGAGCACAGACTACTGAAGCCAGTCTGAATATGGGAGTAACTGGGCTACCAGCTGAAGCACATAGAAGGCACTCTGTGCCACGGAGGCACCCTGAATCTCAAGTGACAAGGATGGATCCAGAAAAGGCCCCGAGCCGGGGATGTGCTCCTTCAGGGGAAGTGTCCCTCCATCCAGAAGAAGCTGAGAACCCTCCATCCAGTCAGAGGAACTGCACATCTACAACACCGACCTTGTCTGGAACAAGTGCATTTATTCACTTCAGGATGGCGCCCCGTGTTTCTGCAATATGCAGTTGCATAAAACATCTCAGACAATCCCTTGTGCACAACCAGTGCAAGTATATATAATGCAATCTGGGTTCAGCCACGGAGCCCACTGGGTGACTCTGGGCCACGCACAGACCCTCAGCCCAACCTACCTCACAGGGTTGTTGTTGTGGAGATAGGACTGAGTGCAGAGGAGGAGAATAATGCAAGCCTCTTTGAGTTTGTTAGGGAAAAAGTGGGATATAATCTAATAAATAAATAAATAAATAAATAAATAAATGAGATTTGGCTCTCCACACTTTGACAACTGCCAAATGGAATCAAAGGGGAAATTGAACTTGGCCGAGGCACCTGTGGGGCAGTGACCGGGCTGGAGACTTGCAGGACTTCGCCAGCACTGCCAGCCCAAGGCTCCCCGTGTGGCTTCTTGCACTAATCCAACTATAAATCTGCCATTATGCAAAGACAAATGCAATCTTAAAAATAATTTCCACCAATATTTGCACATGTTAAGAGGACTATTACAAAAAACTATGCCTGGCCAGTACGGGCAGCTCCTCCAACATCTGGGACACTTTGAAGGGACTGGCCAAACAGGGACTGTGAAGGTCTGTCATGCACTAGAGAACAAAAGCTTACAGGGGAAGAAGCCATGGTGGAAAAGCCATGAAAGGAAGAAAAGCTCATGGCTGTGGAGGGAGAGAAGCCGGTCCTCCGTGGGTCCCCAGGATCCCCCAGGAGGACTGACGGGGAGGGGAGGGCAACATCCCACAGGGGGCCCAACTGTCTGAAGGTGCGCCATTGGTGTTGGCATGGCAACCAGCCCACCTGGTTATTGCTGGGATAGGTTAGCGTGACGTGTGAATGGACCCCGTGTCACTTATTAACCCATTCGGGTCATGCGAACCTGGTCGCTAAAGGCGGAAGGAAAGCATTTAACTAACATAAGCTACCACTCCTCATTCAAAGGAAGGGATGTGGTTTATGGTTCTTTTTTACCCCCAAACCAAAACAGTTTGAGAGTAGAGACCTGAGTTTTGCTCCACTGACCAAAGTGAATTGGTTAATCAGGCCTGCACTGATTAACCAACTACTGTTTGATTAATGTAATGATTGAAAGTGAGCAGAGGCTGCACACCCAACTTCCTTTGGGTAGGGAGATACATCAAAAGGGCAGCCCCACGCACCGAAACAGAGGAGAAAGCCGGGGAGAGCCAGGAAGACTTATTAAGCAAAGCGGTCAAAGCTGCCTTTGTGCCCCAAAACTGGAGCACAGGAGAGCTACATCGGGGGGCAGAGAAAACTAAGCACTGACAGCTTCTAAGAGAACAGGACTGCTCAGTCCTTCGGCAGGAAGGCGGGGGGCCACCTGGCTTCCCTTTGACTGTGCAGCCTGAGAGCCCCCTGTGGCCAACCCGTTGGGCGCAGGGCCAGCCCAGCCCCTCGGCAGCAAGATGCAGCTGGACACTTCCGTTGGCAGCGGGCGGAGGGAGGGAGGGAGGGAGGCAGGAATGCGGGAGCCCGCAAGCGGTTCCTTCAGGGAAACGGGCGAGATCTCGGCTCTGCTCCCGAAGCAAAATGCCCTGGTCCAGGTGGCCTGCAACTGCGACCCTTCCACCGAGCAAGGCTGCCATCCAACACATGCTTCAGAGGCACTTGTGCACAGGGCTGAAGCACGAACCCATGCGCGTGGTGCAGGCAAGGTTTGTCCCGGGTCCTCCTGACCCTTCCATCAGGCTCTGCGGGTGTCCAGGGCCCCTCTTCCAGCTGTACCCCTCCCACGTTTTCCCACCTTTTTCTAAACCCAGGATGTCCATTTGGGAGGGAAAAACAAAGCCAAGAGTGGACTAGCTGCACGTCTCCTAAGACGTGGCACGAGGAGTGTCCGTCGGGAAGCAGCAGCCCACCTTCACGGTGCCTGAGAGCGCGAGGGCACACCTGCCGCAGGCAGTGCCGGGACCAGGCCCCCACTGCCAAAACCCGCGCGCGGGCACGGAGCGCGTCGGGCGGGCTGCATGCCGGCGGCTCCGGGCGCCGCTAGACGGGTTCCCCCGCGGCGAGGGGCTGGGACCGCGCGGGGCGCCCTGCGAGACGAGCGCAGCCGCCCTGCAGGGGAGACGCGGCTGTCCCCGCCCGCGGGGGGCGTCGGCGCCGCTCGCCTCCCGCGCCGCATGTTCGGCCGCCGCGCGGCGCGAGGAGAGTGGGCGGGCGGGATGGCGGGGCGCTCCTCCAGCCAGGAGAGGTGGCGGCGCACAGGGCAGCGGGCACCGTCGGCGCGCAGGCCCGCCGCTAGCTGCAGCTCTCCGTAGCGCTGCCCGGCCGGCAGGGAGGGCCCGC